TTATATCTTCAATTTAAATATTTTCGCTTTATGTACGATTATGAAATAATATTGGTAATACCCCAGGATTTAAGTCATTAAAATTTGGGGCGTTACACTTGTGCCTAGGAAGGCATTTAGCATACTTATGTCACTGCTATCACTACCAGTAATCACAATATCATCAACATATACTACTAACAAAATACACTCAACTGTAGACTTTTTAAAGAATACTCAGTGATCATATGCACTTTTTTTGCAAGCCAAATTCAATTACAATCTCACTAAATCTCCCAAACCAAGCACGTGGTGATTGTTTTAGACCATACAATGACTTTTGTGTCTGCATACCTTTCTTGACTCCCTCTGAGTAACAAACTCGAGTGGTTGCTCCATGTAAACTTCTTCTTGCAAATCACTATGGAGGAATGCATTTTTTGTATCTAGTTGGTAAAGCGGCCAATGATAGCTAGCATCGAGAGAGATGAATGACCGAACAGAAGCCAGCTTAGCACTGAAGAGAAAGTTTCATAGTAATCCATACCATAAGTTTGATCATACCCCTTAGCAACCAAGCGAGCCTTCAATCGAGCAACAGATCCACCAGGGTTCATCTTGATAGTAAGCACCCATTTACATCTAATTACGTTTTTATCTAGGGGCAAAGTAACCAAATCCCAATTGTGATTATGTTCTAGGGCCATCATTTCTTCCTGCATGGTCGTTCGCCAACCACTATGGGATAAAGTCTCAGTAACAGATTTTGGTATTGACATATACTCTAATGAAGCAATGAAGGACTTGGAAAACTGTGACAATGTATAGTAAGAAACAAAAGAAGATATTGGATAAGTACAAGATCGTTTACCTTTTCGAAGGGCAATGGGAAGATCAAGACTAGGATTAGAAGGGGGTGATAAATCTCGAGGCGAACCAGCAAGTAGAGGCGATAGGTCATGGTTTGTAGTAGTGCCACCAGAGATTGTTGTACACGACGAGTGTAAAAATTTCGAATAGAAGGACGAGAAGATACGGGTAACACAGGTGTAGTCACAATGTAAATGAGGAAATCATCCTCAGACTCAAAGAAAGGATTAGAAGACACGAAAGTACTGGAAAAGGGTGTGGACTCGAAGAAGGTGACTTCAGCAGACACTATGTATCGTCTTAAGGAAAGAGGGAAACATCGATAACCTTTTTGAAGTCGAGAATAACCCAAAATAATACACTTTAAGGATCTATGGTCAAGATTGGAGACTTGAGGTCTCATATCCTGGACAAAGCAAGTACACCCAAATACCCTAGGAGCAAGAGAGAATAAAGTCTGAGAGGAAAACAAAATGGAATAAGGGATTTGACCATCTAAGGTAGAAGAAGGCATAGGATTGATTAAGTAAAATGTAGTAGAGACTGCATCTGCTCAAAATTCTTTTGACACCCTCATATGAAAAAAGAGCTCATGCAATTTTCAATAAATGATGATTTTTTCTTTCTGCGCCTCATTTTGTTGTGGAGTAACGATGCATGAAGATTGATGAAGAACGCCCTTTTGAGAAGGAAAAGAAGTAAATGTGAATGAGAAATATTTCTTGGCATTATTACTTCTTAAGATACGTATAGATTTATCAAACTGAGTTTTTATCTCAACATAAAAGGTGCAAAAAAATTGAAAATAGTTCTGAGTGATTTTTCATAAGATATAACCAAGTAACCAGAGAATAATTATCCGCAAAGGTAACAACATAGCGAAAATCGATTGTAGATAAAATGGGACAAGGACCCCAAATATCAGCATGTATTAAATCAAAAGAGGACGTAGCCTTTTTATTCATTCGAGATAGATATGGTATCCTGTGGTGCTTTGCTAATTAACATGTCTCATTATCTAATTGAGACACTTGACTAAGACTATGATATAATTTCTTTAAAACAGGGAAAGAAGGATGACCGAAGCGAAATGAAGCTGCAGAAGAGAATAGGTACTCGTGCATGCAATCGATCTTGGCACATGTGTGGGAGAAGAGTTGAGCACATAAAAGCCATTGAACTCACACGCTCTATCAATAATCTACTTCATCTCAAGATCCTAAAAAATGTAGTAAGTAGGAAAAATATGGACACTACAATTAAGGGATTTAGTAATTTAACTCACAGATAAAAGATTAAAAGGAAACTGAGATAAACATAAGACAGAAGACAATGGTAGAGAGTTTGTTAGATGTGCTATCCCGCATCCGACTACAGGAGTTGTGGACCATTAGCTAAGGTGATGCATGGAAAATTAGAAGAACACTGAAATGATGAAACTATACATGTATTTCCAGTCATATGATCCGTGGCACCGGAATCAATAACCCAATTGCGGGACGAGGTAGAAAGACACGCTGCAAAATTACCTATGTTGGCTAAAGTGGAAGTGTAAGGTATGACAGGCTGTTGAGGATTGGGCTGTTGAGAAGCATAAAATTGTGTAAGGCGAGCATTCGTTTGCTGCAATCGTAATTTGATGTTGAGATGGAAGCGTAGTGTGTATAGATAGAAGACCGTCCTGAGTAGCAATATTGGCAAATTTCCTCATAGGAGTTTGACTTGTGTACCTTGCTGGTTTACCATTTAATTTCCAACAGTTCCTTTTGACATGTCCTTGCTCTCTACAATAATAACAACCATGAGAACCACCACTAAAGATTCCATCTCGGCTACTATCCCCTCTTCCTTTATCACTATAATTGATATTAATCTTTGAATTTGTACAAACAAGAGCTACCGTTTCATTTGGTACTACACCCTGCTCTTTGTCATTATCCTTGCATACCCGAAGGAGTCGCAGATATATATCACTCAGCGAAGGTAATACTTCACTAGTAAGTAATTGATTATGAGCCACCTCATAGTCAGGATCCAAACCTGCAAGAAAACACTAGATCATAATTTGTTCTTCTTGTTCACACATTGTCTTCACATCACTATTAATAGGACACATAGCCCATTTTTCTTCAAATGCCTATTTTACCTCAGTATAATATTGAAACAAATTTCGCCCCTTTTGCTTGGTCCGATAAATCTTTAGCTTCAATTCATGAACATGTGATACATTATGTTTACTCGCATATAAAAATTCTAGATAATCCTACAATTCTTTTACAGTATCACAATGATTAATGACATCGTCAACTGTCGGGTCAAGGGTTTTTGAATCTGATAAAAGAGTTTATCATCTTCCATCAACCATTTCTTCCTAATCTCAGGATTAGTATCAGATTGTAGAGGTGGGTTATCGGTCAAGTGATCACCCAAATCTACACTCGACACATATCTACGGACAGTTATCTTCCATTGAGCAAAATTCCTACTACCCATTAACTTCATATCTGTAATTTTTTAGGATGGGGTTCCTGTGATTTCATTCACCATTTTTTATCACTTTCGTCCATGATTACCAAAGTAGCAGCCCAAATCCAAAATAGTGGCTTACAGCCCCAGTCCACTGGAATAAATAAAGGACCCAAACAAAATATCCCACAACCTAATAGACTCAGCCCAAACCAAACAGCCTACAAATCCACAATCCATAGACTGCACAACCAAATGACGTCTACGGTTGCTGGGGAATGGAATCAGACGACCAAATCATGAGCTCTGATCACTGTCGACCAAAATAAGAGCTCAGACCCTACCTAGTCTTCAAAAGATAGCACCGGAAGAGTACCCATGACACTACAACTGTTGAATCACCCACAAATCCACCACCGAACCGCCGAAGGAATTCTGAAAACACTTTACAAGACCTGGGCTCCTCTGCAGAACACTTTAAATTGACTCAAGTGGAAATGCCATCATCAATTAACCATGTTTCCGACCAGAACAAAAAAGGAAAGAATGCTTATAATTGAAGGAGAACGAATATGGTGAAGAAACGAAAAAAAAAAAAAAAAACTAGCGGAAGAAGAAGAAGCGGAGGTAAGTACCAAACCCTAGCTCTGATACCATGTTGAATGATTTGGAAAACCTCAATATATTTCTCTTCATAAATGGGTACATACACACACACACACACACACACACATGTAGAGGATATTTATCTAAAGGAAATAATCCTATCTAATGCGGAAGTAATTCTAGGGTTATACACTTACCATATAAATCAGATTAACTCCTAATTTAATGTACACAGTTCTTAACAGTTAATATGCTGAATTTTGCCAAATGTGCGTATACAGACACCATTATGAGCCCTCTAATTTGGAAAATTACACTACTACCTCACACAGAGATGATACACTCAGTTCTCAGTTTCTTCATGTAAATAAATCATTCAGCTATGATGATCTATCTTTGACTATTCCTTCGGACCAGATGCGAAGGATTCAAAACACAAACACATTAATTGCCGAGGTAGCTCTCATGCCTCGAAATTTGTCTGACTTATTATTTGGGCTTTGTCTAGTTACCCCTTTTCTCCTTGCATTATTACATTGAATTACTTCTGCACTTGAAGAACAAAAATTTACTTTTGTACTTCCTTGACTAAAGCTGGCAGTGGAGAAAGAACAGTTGGTGCAAGCCTTGTCAGTTGAATCATCACAAAGCTCTAAACTTATGGTATTTTTCATCTTGAATGATTTTTTTTTTTTTGTGAAATTTCCTATAGTTTATCTATTAAGATTACTATGCTAAAATTGATTTGCTTTGACTTGACTAGCATGTGAAAGTAAACGGTTTATCGTTAAAATTGCAATAGTGTATCTCTGTTTTATTATTGTAGTGGATGTGTTGTTTTATACATTGGTCAATCCATGAAAGACATATTTCATGAGCACGTTTCATATGATAGGTTAAGGACTTTCTGGAAAGAAATAGACAAGGAAACAAAAGAGCTCATTGATGTAATAGAGTTTCTTTTGAATGCGTAGTCTTCTCCCAAGAGCATTACCAGGAGACACATTGGAAATAAGGGAAAGTAAAATGTAGTTTTCTTAGTGAACAAAATTTCTTTTTATGATTCCTCTCTGCTTTCTATCTTTCTTCAAGTTCATGCAAATTTTATTCATTTTTCTAGGGTTCAAAAAATGTTCTATGTTATGCACTTTACTGACCATTTATAATTATGATAAGGGATAATTGCAGCAAAATCTCCAAACCTTTTTAACATTAACAGACTTTCCCCAAACCTTTGATTTGTTGCAGTCGTCACTCCTAACATTTCCAAATGTTATAGGTGAAGTCATTTTGGATAGTTTTCATCCATAATTCTGTCAGTTGACCAAAATTGAACTTTGATCACATTTTTAATATTTTATAAATGGATAAAAGAGTAACTTTCCATTTATCACATTAAATAATTAAATAAAAAAAGAACCCGTACACATACAATCGTCTTCTTCCTCTCAACCCTCATCCACACCTACCTCAAACCTAAAATCCACACCGACCACCGCCATCTCCACCTCCACCTCGAACCTAAATGCCCCATTAGAAGAACAGAAAGAAAGATTAATCAAGAATTTGGTTTTCACTTTTCAAAAATGTTTGAATACTTCAAAACAGAAACTCACTCACTTATTACTTATCCCCGTACCCCCCAACGAGCCCAAGAAAGATTTCCACCGCAATGGCGGACACCGCTGCGAAAGAACCACCACACTTCGAAACCCCATCAACATTATCAAATTCTACGACAAAAACTACATTGTCTACCACCAATTACCTCCGCCCCCACCATGAGCCCTTCGAGCACGATCTTCTCCCCATCGCCCAACTTATTTTTCCTGATGCCACTCAAACCCTTTCCCATCTCAAATCCACACTTCTCGTTGTTGATTCGTCCAACTGGGTCAATCCTGAAATCCTTACATGAGCTCTTCAGATCTCTATTGACCATTCTTGGCTTATCCTCGAAAAACTTTTTCTTCCATTCTTCATGATGATTCTGATCCTTTAATTAATGCCAAGACTCCGCAGGATATCAATTTGATTGGAGTTAATGTGTTTGATTTGCTGATTTATTTGTATATACAAAGTTACAAGAGGTTGCTTCCCAAAGGGCATAAGGATTTTACTGCTGTTGTAGGTGGTTGGTTTCTATATGTTGTTGATGTTTGTTACAATATATTTTATAATGTAATTTGTGTTGCTTCTTGTGGAATTTGGAAAAAAAGGGCATGTAGTGTGGATGATGGAAGTGATTGGTGGAATTGGGGAAACAAGGTGGTTGCGAACTGAGATTGCAGTAGATGTAGATTGTTTTAGTTTTTGTTGTTGATGTTTTTGTACATTCTTGATTAATATTTCTTTCTGTTCTTCTAATGGGGCATTTGGGTTTAAGGTTGAGGTGGGGGTGGAGATGGCTGTGTTCAGTGTGGATTTTGGGTTTGAGGTGGGAGTCGAAGTGGGAGTGGGTGAGGGTGAGGGTTGAGAGGAAGGAGACGATTGTGTGTGTGTATGTTTTTTTTTTTAATTCCTTGTGCTTGGGGATAGAGAAACAGTCATTGGCGAGCTCAAAGTTTTGTTGATCACCCTTTAGTCATGAAGAATGGTGCTGGTCCTGTTTCAGCGATTCCTGGCAGGTTGGATGAGAATAATATTGCCGTCCTCTCAACCATGCAATCGTGTCAACAGAATCCTATGGTATCTGACTCTAGCAGGGATGCCTCCTATAGGGCAATAGAACTACAAAATGCACTAGGAAACAAAGCAACTGGCATACCTGTCCCTCTGCAGACAAGCATGCATATTTCTGTCCTAAATGATGGCGCCTTCTCCCATACATTACCTAGGCGAGCTTCTGATGCACAGTCAACTGAGTGTCCTACCACTACAGACACTCCGAATCCTCAGGAGGATCTGACAGTTGAAGGGGGCACAATTAACATTTCAAGTGTCTACTCCCAAGAGTGAGTTACATTTTCCTATTATCTGGTTTTATATCTTATGGAAAGCTACATGTTCCCTTGAGCAACATAATCTTGATCAACCATGTTTTATGCCTATCTAAGAAGCATGGACTTGGACACAATCACGCCATAGACACTCCATGGCTTGGAAATGACACTCCAAAATGTGATGTTTCAATAAAGTAGGATAAGGACACATTAGGGACACGGTAGATTTAAAATCTTCAAAACTATACAATTACGGAATGTACTTTCTTTAATTTTTTTTAACAAAATACATTATTGAGTGAAGCTATATTATATAAAACAAATTTGACATGAAGTTCATGGATTTTTCTCACCTTATTTTGTCTTTTTACCACAAATGTTTGTGTTGATGTCCAATATGTGTTGGACATGGACACAGACACAGCAACCGAGAAATAATGTCTGTGCTTCCTAGATGCTTAGGAATACATGCCTGTGTAGTAATACTCCACTGACCAACAACTTCTACCAATATATCTCTTAACCTAGGATGTTTACCAAAAATATCTATTATCTAATGTGGTAGCATCAAATTGCTTCATTTCTTGTAATTTGGTTCACGGAAATTAATAGCGACCTACCACCTTAGAGTTTTGTATATATACAATTTCATAGGTTCTGTTATTAGACAGCTCTAGATTGAACAAACTGACGAGTAATGATTTAAGTAGCTGATCTGTAATTTATTGGGACTACGACTTAGCCTCATGTTGTATTTCTTTGGAGTCATTCTAAGGAATTCTCTAACCAGGACGGAAGTAGTATTTTATGTCTATCCTGAGAAATTACAAATAACTTCGTCATAATCTGCTCAACTTTTGCCTGAGTTCCCTTCTGTTTGTAGTCTTTAGAAGGACGCATGCACTCTTCAGTGCTAATTTCTTACCTAATGGGCATATTCGATTATGATCAGGTTATTGAATTCATTGACACAAGCACTTCAGAGCTCAGGTGTGGATCTATCCCAAGCCAGCATATCAGTGCAAATCAATCTTGGGAAACAGGCAAATCCTGAACCAGCATCGGGCATATCAATCGCCAAGGTACCGAACATTCTGTTAATATATTGGTAATACATTATGCTTGTAGATGACCTGAGCTCCAATATCACGATAGTTCTATGCCATAATAGCGTGTTTGGTACAGAATATTAGAAAGCAACGGACAATACTAAGAAAGAAGCAGCTAATTTTTGTTTTTATTTTTTATTGTACTTCCCAGTTCTATCTAATATTGTAATATTGTTGAAGGATTGCAGTTGTTATTCTTTTACCGTTGCTCTTACATTAAATCTTTCACTACTGTATAGGATCACGAAACTTCTACTCCTACACCCAGGCTTTTTCAAGATGTGAGCAACAACGAAGACTTGGATCAAGCTCGCAAAAGGTTGAAGATCTGAGCATTGTATGTTTGTCTTATGGGCAGCGATTTTAACTCAGTTTTGTATCATCTTATCATCTTTTGGTTTTAAGTAACATGAAGCGCGTGTTTGTTTCGTAGTAGTGGACATGACCGGTTAATATAATCATCAAGATTTAAATTCTTTTCTTCTTTTAAGTTAACCATAAGATGTTTTGGCATACATAACTCAGAAAGCCAATTAAACATGATTCTGTAAAGGAAGAGTCTGAATGCTTTTTGCTACTTTAAAAGCCAATTAATTGCACATAAGTAGATTGGAGATCTCGATTCAAGCGTCATGGTGGCGGGTGATTGCCGGCTGTGGGGTGCGATAAATTATTATTGGAGTAAGTTGGATAATATCGCGAGTAAGTTGCTATTCAGACAATAGGGTGGGAATTTTTAGTCTATATCACGAGCCATCAAGTACCAATACCAATCTCACAACAGTATTAACGTAAAAGATTTGATCATTCATCTGTTAATTACTCTCTAGCTGAACCCACTCTCTTGCCACACGTTTCACTTGCTTAATTATATTAATTGTATGAATAGACAATGACGTGATGTCCCAATTTGAGAGATGAGGCCACGTGATCCTGATCCAACGGACACGACTTCGGCCGATGCAGTATAAATAGCTCCTCTTTGTGATTAAAGATGGGGAGGAGAAAAGAGGAATCTACAAGATCATATGTGCGAAATAGACATTTGAACTCTTGGAAAAAAAAAACATATTAACATTTTTCATCTATCCTTCCACATATTCTTGTCTGTCATTACATAGATTAGTTTGGTCTCAACTCGGTAATCGTTGTTAATGCGATTGCTTTCGTTTCACCCGCCGGAACTCGAACGATTTTGTCTCTCGCCGTAAAGTACCTCATGCGTCCATTTCTTCATTGCTACCGTCATCATTCCTGTAGGAACGCGGCGAAATTGTACTTGACTGGGTGTGAGTGGGCCCAACATCTGTTGATTTATTTTTTAGGGTCAACAAGAGTTAATATCAAAACGTAAAAACAGTTTGACCTAAAATAAAAACGACTAGAAATGTTCAAAATTCATGTCAAGTTGCTGATTATAATTCAGATCACAACTTTTCTTATTCTATTAGAGCGTCTTTAAGAGACTCTTATTTCTAAAGAGCGTGTTCTATAATTTTAAAAGTATATATGAATTTAGAGAGTAAAATTTTTTGAATACTAATTTTACCACTCCACAAAAAATTTATTATTTTTCCCTATCTTTTACTCCTACACCCAGGCTTTTTCAAGATGTGAGCAACAACGAAGACTTGGATCAAGCTCGCAAAAGGTTGAAGATCTGAGCATTGTATGTTTGTCTTATGGGCAGCGATTTTAACTCAGTTTTGTATCATCTATCATCTTTTGGTTTTAAGTAACATGAAGCGCGTGTTTGTTTCGTAGTAGTGGACATGACCGGTTAATATAATCATCAAGATTTATATTTTTTTCTTCTTCTAAGTTAACCATAAGATGTTTTGGCATACATAACTCAGAAAGCCAATTAAACATGATTCTGTAAAGGAAGAGTCTGAATGCTTTTTGCTACTTTAAAAGCCAATTAATTGCACATAAGTAGATTGGAGGTCTCGATTCAAGCGTCATGGTGGCGGGTGATTGCCGGCTGTGGGGTGCGATAAATTATTATTGGAGTAAGTTGGATAATATCACGAGTAAGTTGCTATTCAGACAATAGGGTGGGAATTTTTAGTCTATATCACGAGCCATCAAGTACCAATCTCACAACAGCATTAACGTAAAAGATTTGATCATTCATCTGTTAATTACTCTCTAGCTGAACGCACTCTCTTGCCACACGTTTCACTTGCTTAATTGTATTAATTGTATGAATAGACAATGATGTGATGTCCCAATTTGAGAGATGAGGCCACGTGATCCTGATCCAACGGACACGACTTCGGCCGATGCAGTCTAAATAGCTCCTCTTTGTAATTAAAGATGGGGAGGAGAAAAGAGGAATCTACAGGATCATATGTGCGAAATAAACATTTGAACTCTTGGAAAAAAACATATTAACATTTTTCATCTATCCTTCCACATATTCTTGTCTGTCATTACATAGATTAGTTTGGTTTCAACTCGGTAATCGTTGTTAATGCGATTGCTCTCGTTCCACCCGTCGGAACTCGAACAATTTTGTCTCTTGCCGTAAAGTACCTCCTGCGTCCATTTCTTCATTGCTACCGTCATCATTCCAGTAGGAACGCGGCAATATCGTACTTGACTTGGTGTGAGTGAGCCCAACATCTGTTGATTTATTTTTTAGGGTCAACACGAGTTAATATCAAAGCGTAAAAATAGTTTGACCTAAAATAAAACGGACTAGAAATGTTCAAAATTCATTTCAAGTTGCTGATTATAATTCAGATCACAACTTTTCTTATTCTATTAGAGCATCTTTAAGATACTTTTATTTCTAAAGATCATGTTCTATAATTTTAAAAGTATCTATAAATTTAGAGAGTAAATTTTTTTAAATACTAATTTTACCACTCTACAAAAATATTTATTATTTTTCCCTATCTTTCATTTTTATTATTTTTCCCTATCTTTCATTTTTATTAGTTTTCCTCCAAATTATTATATTATTTTCCTTCATTGAAAATTGAAATATTTTAAATACATTTAATTATAGAGAGTGAGTTTGATTCTCTTTAAATTATAATGTTAATTTAAAGTTTCAAACAATCTCTTGGAGCATATGTTTAAGTTAACCTTTTAAAATCGAGAGTATCTTATATTTAAAACATCTTTCTTGAAGATGCTCTTAGCCATAATTATCCGTTTGCACGATCTTTCACTACAAAAGAAAAGAAAAAAAAAACGAGGCATCAATGCGGAAAATCACTGCAAACTCAGCAGAATAATCATCCAGCCGTATTAAGATTCAAAAACTTCTTTATAAGTACTCAAATTATATTTAGGAAAATTGATTAACAACTCTTATTTTTTTTGCCCTCTATACCACTTTTCCTTTCCAACTGAATTTGTTCAAGAGAGGTTTTCAATCGAATTTGAGAAGTTTGGCTGAATATACAATTACTATAGTATTATTTCAATTCTTATTTTTGCATGATTCAGCTAGTAATTATTTTTAATAATTCAAAATTTAATATCATTAACACATATAAAACTATTACACACATTTTGTAGCCATCATCACTATTCTTCTTGAAAAGTTTCTAAAATAATAAATCTAGAACATAAAACTTTGTAAGAGGAAACGTATTGAAGAGACTACTAAGGCCCCGTTTGTTTCTCATTATTTCAAAACATTGTTTCCTGCAGTAAAATTTTTCACCACATATTCACTCAATAAAATATTGTACACACAAATTAATAAAGTTACTTTAAATTTTAACATCACATTCTCTAAAAAATACTATTCATTATTCTACTTTTTCTACAATAATGAGAGACAAACACACACTAAATAACAAAAAAATACAATTACTATAGTGGTCTAAATTTGTGTTTCTTAACACAATATGAACAATTGAACAGAAATTACAAGGTAGAAAGACATCGAAGTCCGTACATTTCTTGACATTTAAACAGCCCTTATCGTACGGCAACCTTCCTTAAAATCTGTGAACTCGTAATCCACCGGACCAACGAATGCCTAGTGGCTCCGACCAATCACAATGCGACAACACTTTTGAAAACCATATGGTTTTCCTTTCATTACTATGGTGGTTTGGCATCCCATTTTATATCTGTACATGCTTTATCCGACAGCATATTTTGCCAAGAAAACCTGACATTTTTTACCAAATGGAAACGACAAGAAGAAAGAAATCTACCGCCCTTTACTTTAGCTAATAGAGATAAACCTATACATGTCTTTCGTTATCTATCTAGGGTTAGAGAAAGTAGCAATTTCAGGGTTTTCTTTGAAGGGTTTTTTTCTGTTAATTTTCGGGGTTTGATTTCTGCAAAATTACAGAAAAAAGAGAGAAAAAATGGGGAGAGGAAAGGTTCAATTGAAGTTTATAGAGAATAAAATTAATAGGCAGGTGACTTTCTCAAAGAGGAGGACTGGTTTGCTGAAGAAAGCTCATGAAATCTCTGTGCTGTGTGATGCAGAAGTAGCTGTGATTATTTTCTCCAACAAAGGAAAGCTCATTGAGTATTCCACTGATTCTTGGTACGTTTTCCATTTTCGATCCGTGCATCATTGTCAATACGTAGAATATCGTTTACGGTTAGTGCTAAATAAGCTGTAATCTCGCAGTTCTGATACATATATTCGTTTCTTTTGTAATACATCCTGCATAAACAAAGACTTTCATTATTTTTCTAATTCTTTAAGGGCAAAAAAAAAAAATTCATCAGCGGAAATTCTAGGTCATAATTTGTTTCTTTATTTTTATGTGATTACTGTGGTGCTTAATCAATTTTATCCATTAATATCTAAACTAGTGTCCCAAAATTTTATATTCTAGGTTGATGATATTACTCATTTTTTATCAAACAGAATAAAAAAAAATTAATTGATTAATTAATGGTTGCATATTCTTGATCATGATTTTATCCCGCGCGCTCTACTATCCTCTGCTCATTTTTTCTAGTTTATTATAATATATATAGGTTTTCTGAGTTGTCTGCTGATATCATTCAATTATCAGATCATTCTTTAGGAACCCTCAGTTTTTTCTGTAAGGGCTTTTCTAGATTCTTTATGAATTAATTCCTTAATTCTGACTAAAGGGTTTGATAGATTCTTTACGAATTTTGTGTTTAGTTTCTTCCATTTGGGGGTTTTCCCATATATGAAGCCATCACCAGGATGAGAATTTTATTAATAAACAGAAACTATGAAGTTGAAGGAGCCTTAGTTGGAGAAGTACGAAGGGGTCCCTTTGAGAGAAAAACTTTCCGAAAGCTAAAAAGATAGGAGTTCTCATATTACTTACGACATGCTAGGTAGGGTTCTGATCGATTTTTCTTAAGGTTGAAGAGCTACAAGTGAATAAATTTCGTTGCAAAGATAATATTTAGTGAAAATTAAAAATAGGGATGTTGATAAAAAATGATAAATATGAGGCGGTACACTTCGTAAATTAAAATTAGATTTTTGCTAAACATTAATATAAAAGCTAATTAACACTTTTGATCGAATCATTTTCGTAGTAACCATTTTTTCATCACTCATTTTTATTTAGAAAACATTACCGTTTGCAATAACTTCCTCTTAATCCGACGCACGTGAATGAAGGGGTGTGGTTAAAAAAAAATTTATATAAACTAGTTATGGTGAAGTTATTTTGAGGTTTTTTTTGAAGGTTTGTAGAAATATTATGTTTATATGTTTGATCAATACTAAAAGATATATATTGCTTACATTAGTTGTTTGTGAAAAGATGCTTTCTACGGTACTATATTGAATCAGCTAATTTAAAAATTCAAATAGTCGGAAAGGAAATACATTTAGTCCTTTTTTCGTGGAGATTAAAATTATATTTCTAGTTGATTTTGATAACAATTGATAAAATGTGCGGTTGAAAAGTTGTGAATCCCATAAAATGTGTTATTATAATTAATTATTGAGTTTGACTTGAATTAAAATTTTAATCCATACCGGGGCTTAGTCTTCAAAAATTATAAGCCCACCATTCACTTGGAAAAGATATAAAAGTGTAAAATTTAATTTAAATATTAAATTTTTAAATTTGAATCGATTATCAAGTGTTTCACCACACAATGCAACAAATCTCACAGATATTGTTGACGTCATTCTGATATTCGTACCTTAAAAATATAGTCCAAATATGATTAGTCGATCTCAAGTGTAGGAAATATATCAACTCTGTATTTTTTTCTCGAAACATTACATTCGTCTTTATGTTGGCAAATCCTTGAGTTATTAACATTTTGTAATTTATATATTGCACATCTTTACCCGTTCCTCTCTATATTCTTTCAATTTGGATAAATTGCAAATTTCATCCCAACCTTCGGCAAAAGTAGTGATCTTGACCCAACTAACTTTTCGTCTGATTTTTGTTCTTAACCTTTGAAATATCAACGGATTACCTCTTTACAGATTAACTCCATTGGCCTGGACTTGTATTTTAATGAAGGGTAAAATAGTGTAGCTGCAAAATTCCAAAAATGTCCAAATTGGCAAGCATCATCTTCACACTACACATTAATAAAAGTCGTCAACTGAGCCCCTTTTTTATGGCCATTATTTTGAAAAAACGGGGTATTGAATAATATTTTTTTTTTAAGAACGTGTGATAAAAAATTGGAAAAAAACCTAAGTTTACGTGTAAAATGCTTTATTGGATAAATAAATAATTAAAAATGAGTACGAGAATTAAAGAGTTTTAAAATTATAGTTACCAATCAAGGGTTAAGTATTATAAAATTTCAAATTATAAAACTATACTGTGATCATTGTTGCCTCATCCAATTACAAATTAAGGAGCTTCATTGAGTCCCATTTTCTTTTTTTTTTTGCCAAAAATGCATTTTGAAATAGTGATTTGATGGAGAATGTGTAGTTAAAAAATAAGGAAAAATTTTGGATTTGCTTATAATATTATTTTATTGAATAATGTGCAGTTGAAAATAAAAGAAAAAAAAATGTATTTTGAAAATAATGAAAATCAAACAAGAGCAAGATAATCAATGACACTTTAGCTTCTGTTTGACAACCATTAAAACAAAACCTTTTTTTCAAGTCCATTTCAATCACATTCTCACAATAAAATATTTTGCACTCAAATCCAATTTTTTCCCACGATTTTAACCACACATTCTAAAAAATTACTTGTACAAAATTTATTTTCCCCAAAAAACTCATTTTAGTGGTTGTCAAACATGGGCTAAGCCCAAAAAACAATTTTATACTACAGAGCATTAGGTACACTGTAGCAGGACATGAGGTAAATTATAGGACCTTGCAAAGTGAAGAAAGGACTCAAAGTTGAAACATGATATCGACATAGTTTGTCCAAAATCCTCATGACCTACCAAATCATAAAGGCTGAACATCTCTCTATTCATACACTGATATATTTAGCGGAGTGATTAGTGATTTCCGCTCGTCGTTCCTTTCTTGCTGATCTACTTGTAATAGAAGTATTCGTGCAACAACAGTTATGTTTAGGGGAAGCTTTCCGAGTTACACCAATTTACCCAACCACATAATTGTCTACTTATAAAAGACATACGTTAATATATTACAGATTATCAATAAATGTATTCTATGTCCAAACAAGTTAAGCTTTTATATGAGGCGATTTAAAAAAACATATTATTTTGTATCTACATTGAATTTTATCGTGTCTTAATATATCATTTATTTCCTTGATAGCATGGACAGGATCCTAGAGCGATATGAAAGATGTTCATTTGCAGAGAAGAAATTAGTTTCAAACGATCCTGAGTCACCTGTAAGTCTTAAATTTATGAATAATAATATTTAGGAAAATGTTGACAAGAAAGTTGTCCATAGTACTGCTTCTGGCCTTACTTTCTAGACAGATAATGTACTGATGGCTTGTTAGCATGGTGGACACGATACTCTACACTATTAAGGGTGTTTGATAGATATTATTGAGAGAAAAAATGTATTTTAAATAGTGATATGATGGAAAATATGTGGTTAAGAAGTAAAGAAAAGTTATTGATGTGATTAAAAATATTATTTTATTGAAAAACGTGTGGTTGAAAATGAGTTTTAAAAGAATATATTTTGAAAGAATATGTGTCAAACAAGGGCTAAGAAAAGAAAAATAGAAATGTGATATAGTGTTGAGTTGGATGGGTGTGTTTGAGCCGCATTATTTTGGAAGAATGTATTTTGAAATAATAGATTGATACAGAATGTGTGGTTGAAAAATAAGAAAAAGTTATTGATGTGATGGAAAATATTATTTTATTAAAACATGTGTTGTTGAAAATGGGTAGAAGAATGAGAATGAAAATTTTAATGTGGCTCAAATAGGAGCCTAATACTTTATACTAGACCTGGTGTAAATAGTTTAAAATGTTTCAAATATATGCAGGCAAACTGGACCCTAGAATATAACAAACTCAAGGCTAGAATTGAGTTACTGCAGAGAGAGCAAAGGTAAATACACAAGTCATTTTAGGAGATGATGAAATTTAAGGATCTATGTTTTTTTCCATGTGTTATTACTTCATTATTTACTTGCACTTTAAGGCATTATATGGGAGAAGATCTGGACTCTATAAGCCTGAGAGATCTTCAGAATTTGGAGCAACAACTAGAAATTGCTCTTAAGAATATTCGATCTCGAAAAGTAAGATATATTTGCATATAATAAATTCTTCTTCAAGTTTATGGTACTGATTTTACTACAATTTATTTTCTTACCTGTAGTCTAATTAAATTGTACATTTTATATTCATAGAATCAACTATGGTACGAATCGATATCTGAACTGCAGCGAAAGGTTCGTCCCTTTTAGAACCTTCATTGTATTCAAAATATTACTTCTTTAATATTTTCTAGTTGTATCCATCCTATATATAGAGCATTTAAAGAGTAACAGTAGTAGTAAAAGAAGCAAGTAAAAGTTTTATAACATCAATATTTCCTAAACAATTGTGAATCAACACACTGGTCTACACATGGAATAAATCCAATTCCCATGATTTATTGTATGATCCATAAAAAGGAAACCCTTAGGTTGAAACTTGGCATTGACCCTACCCCCCATATATTGATGCAAAAAATTAGGATAATACTATTTGTACATCACCATTTAAAAATTCTTTTACATATTGGCAAGGTGGCAAAAGGAAAGTTGTGGGGGGGTTGATGGTTGGTGACATTTTGAATCAATTATATCTCGCCACATTATTTGTTTGTAAACAAATTTGTAATTTGTGATGTACATGATCACAACCGAAAAAATAATTACAATTGAGGGAGACAAACCGACCTTATTTCCAGAGTTGCAAATTAAAACATGCATGCAACTTAATTTAGCTTTCTATCAGTGACATGATGGACGCAATAAAATCTCGCAATCAAAACCAGGAAGAATTCAGAATAGCGTTCTTATTGTTATTCTATACATGAGAGTTTGTATTTTATGAATGTGTGTTAATACCTTAGAAGGCTTCATTTTTTACTAGTGTAATATTTGTTTTCATATCAAACTTTTTCCGCTCCAAAATCTTAAATTTTGTTCTGGATTTTGACAGGAGAAGGCAATACAAGAACAGAACTATATGCTAGCAAAACAGGTCTCATTTCTTTTGCTGAATTTGGAGAATTACTTGAATTATTGACATGCTTTTATATAACTGCAGAGGGTTGTTATACTATACAATTTCTGATGTTATTGGAGTATTTTTAATCTGCTAATAGATAAAAGAAAAGGAGAAGGAAATGGTACAGCAACCACCTTGGGAGCAGCAAAATCATGGCAATAATATGCCCACATTCTCAATGGCATCTCAACTTCCTTGCCTTAACATCAGGTAACCATTCGAAGAAATAAAAACTGAAGTGGTATTGCTTCTTCACTTACTAGATAATCAGACGCAAACCTCTTTTTCTCTGGGATTCAATCAATAATGATTTAAACGTCCACCAGAATTAGTTTATCGACTCACCAAACAGTATAAACATGTGGCGGAGTTCGTGTCCAGTTAGTAGAAAATTAGTAATTTGGTAGTATGCGATTTGCAGTGGCGCATACGAAGAAGAAGCAACAGAAGATGGAAGGATTAATGGTCTTGATCTCAACATGGATTCACTCTACTCATGTCATCTTGGATGCTTTCCAGCATGAGAACAAATATATATATTTAATAATAATTAGTTTTTGTCTATATATGTTAATAACACGATAAAATTGGAACAGAAAATAATAAGATATTCTCCAATTTTATTGTATTCAACTGTTCAATCTTAATAATTTACAATCCTATTTACATGAATTTAGAGGACTGTATTTTCAGATCGTGTAATATATTTGTGGCTTGAATCCACCTCACTCATTGGTAGCTGGGGTTCGTCACCGTCTTTGAAGAGTTTTCATTTGTCTTTATGATTTTTAAAGAGTATTCCATTTATCTTTATTTATTTTAAAGAATCTTGTTAGGTGGAAATGTAGCTGGTGAGGATGGGAAAATGGCGAAGGAGGTGGAGAAAATTATGTTGCAGAAGTGGCAATCCTAATACTTTCCAAATAAGTTGCTTATAAGCATTCTATAATCTCACCCAAACATGTTGGTTGCTTATAGAGTAAGGAGTAAAAATTTGGTATAAAAACATATATACATATATTCCTACTTTTAAAATATTTGGCCTCAGTTTTCAACACATATAAGATATGGAAAAAGCCATATGTACAGATTTTCTGTTTACAGAATTTGTACAAGTGCTGCGTTATTGAAACTATTTTTTACCTCCAACTTCCAATGAATTTTCCCCGAGTGTTATCTGTAAAAAAATTTCTGTGAACCAATTCTTTAAGTGTAGCATTGTCCATAAGATATATACAAACTCGTATCTATTATAGATACAGTAACAATGCAAAAACGGCAAGTTTGAATTCTCCCTAGTTTCGAGAAATCGATGTTTTTTCATCCATGGCTAAACAAACTCAATACATTATGGTCAACTGGTGTGTCTAATCACAAGATCGCCATCTCAACTCACTCACTAATTCCATAAAAAGTGTTAATTTCTAATTTAGAGCATAAAAACATGAAAACTAGAACACTAGGGCGTGTAAACATGTCAATAATTCAAAAATCGTTTGCTAAATTGCATGTACTTGAAATTTGGACTTGGAAAAATGGAAACATAGCCCCAGTTTGGGTTTTCTTTTATTTTACTAAAATTACATTTCAAGACACCAGTAGATGATAAGTTGGTAGTCTTACGAAAATTATGATTAAAATTAATGTCTAATTGTAAAAAGTAAAATTATAGAAGACAATAAAATGAAAGCCAAATGGGGGCATAATAACTTGAAACAAAGAATGGAAACTTGAAAAAACGAATTGAGGACCAATTTGACAAGACTTTCAAAAGTCAAAAGTTACTTCTGAAATTAAGAAATGATTTTTAAAAACGTTTGGATAATTTTTAAAAAATATTTTTTCTAATTAAAATATTTTTTAAAGGAAGATAGGTTAAGATAACTTTTTCAAAAAACTCTTTTATAAGCAAAATACCTGTCAAACGGGCGTGAATGTATCTTAAAATCTTCCTTCTTCTTCCTTGTTCCTTGTGCTATTTTCTCTTTCTACTTATTTTTCCTAACTTTATCTCTTTGTAAAATAGGATTATGGCTCACATAGGGAATGGTACGGTCATAAATATGTTAATTTGGACGGTAAGACTTGATTTGTTGTCTAATGCAATTATGTCACAAATTATTCTCAATTCCAACTCTAGCCCTATTTTGTTTATATAAAAAGTTGATCAAATTCTAAATCAAAGTCAATGATTAATTTGAATCATACATTTTATGGAATGTTCAGTTTTTACCAACCTTTTTCAATTACACATTTTATCATTTTTTATCAAAATTTACTAAAAATTTAATTTTTAGCAAAATCTAACCGGAGCTTAAGATACGGACCGAATTAGTGTCTAATGAGGAGATTAAGTTTACTTCCATTAACTAGTTGGTTAGGATTATTATTACTAGTTGTATGCCCGTACAATGTACAGGCTTTGATATTTTTAAGATAATACTAGTATATAAAATATTAATGGAAAGCTAAATTGTTGTGAAAGTTCAGTAAATTTTTATTTAACATAATTATTAGTAAAATTTCAAAATTATAATATTCTAGTAAGATTCAAATGAAAAGTTTTGTGTAGCCTAAATTTTTTCCAAGGAAGAAATTAATGGAGACAATATTAATCTTTCTAAACTTGCTAACGTTTGACAATTCATATCCGTGCTCTGTACCAAAATATTTATAGTACCAAACGAACAAGAAGAAAGTTATTTTGAACACTAATCAAGTAAACAGTGAATTGTTCGGTCAGGTCGCAGGGGTCGAGGGGGCAGTGCCCCTCGTGGGGGTTCGGGGCCAACGCCCCAAAGGGAATTCTAATTTATAAACGATTGTGAGGTTTTGTAATTTTTTTAATGTTTTTGAATTAAATTATTAATAAATGAAATTGTATTTAGTTTGTGTAAAATGTAAGCAAATGTTATCACATAAATTTAAAAATAAGTGTTTGTAAATTTGGTTAATGTTATTTTTAAATGTATTGTACAATTTTGAAATATACAAGATAGAAATGATTTTTTTTGCTATGTGTTTATCATACATTATTGTTTGCACTGTAATAAAAAAAAAATGGTCAGCGCAGTGCTGAGCATTCATTTTGCACAGTGCGGACCATTTTTTTTGCTGCAATTAAAAAAAAATCATTTTTAAATATAATTCATATCATTTTCATAGGCAAGCTCATTGCCATTGAAAACAACTTAATATATTTACCATTTATCGACCAATCACTATCATACGAAACTTAGTTGCAATCAGTAATGTCGGAAAATAGCAATTGTAACATCCATCGGAACATGTATTAGGAACATCCATGACAACAGTATGTTAAGTTATGGAATTGTTGAGGCTCAAAGCAATTAACAGAAATTGAAGAAGGTTATTAGTGCATATAACTCTGTTCATAATTGAAAATAAGATTCTTATGAAAGATATTAATCTGTTTAACCTATTTGCATATGTGAAAAACTAATAGAAATACATGAAACTGGCAAGCAAGTTCTATGATTTAAACGAAATTTCTTTTCAATGTCTTCTGGGAATATAGAATACACATATCTCAGGATGTCTATTCGAAAACTTCCACATAAGTTCAAATCAGGGAAATGTAACTTATATCGCATTTTTGTACCAGCTCTTACAACCCTCAGAAGGCCTATGGTCGATTTAAATTGAAATAGTTGTTGTAAACCGAAGCAGAGAAGGTGTGGGAGAAGTTCCAAATTGTAACGTATCTCAATTTTCTACAAACGATTACAACCTGAGAATTTTATTTTTTTTGTTTGCAGTTTCGATTGCTTAACTGAACTCAACAATGGAATTGTGTACAAAAAATCCTCGCTATCGGTGGATATTTGATGTAGCAAAGTTGGAATTGATGTTGTGGGCAAAACGTGTAAAATGAATTGCCGTTTGTTTTTTGGCCTCCTTCAGGAGCAAAATAGGGATGTAAAGTCAACAATTGTGGGTATAGGTACAGTAGAGGGTGGCTTGCCAAGAAGAAATCAAATATTCAGAGGCAATATGATAGAAAAAAAGGATAGAAATTAGATAAACAAAAAGCTTCACAAATTAACAGTAATCAGTGGATTGCCTCTTTTAAGATATTAGGGATTACAATTCAACTTGTTTTGAACACAAATCCAATTCTAAGTCAACCAAGATTAAAATTAAAATATTTTTGAATACAAACTATCATGAGAAACAACATTAAACAAATTAATTATTCTAGGCTTAGATGAAAATATTAACCCAAATACATTTATCATATGAATAAAATGAACCGACAGAAAATAACAAATATGATGCAGGGGAAGTTTATAGGAAAGACAAAAATCTCACAAAAAAAGAATTTCAATCGAGAAAAATTCAAGAAAAACTTTATTTCATTCCAAACTGAGCTACCTCAAAAGGTTTACAACGTTTAAATAGCGAAACCCTAATAAAATTCGGAAAGAAATTACATAATAATAAAAAATATTATTTTTTCCAAAAATGGAAAAAATTGAGATAATCACGGATCTTGATTCTCCTAATCATCAAGATCGTCCTCCAACAAACGGAAATCAAATCCGAGTTTATTTGACTAAGATATTGCCAAAACAAAAATTACCATAAACGGCAAAAACGCATAATTGAGGGCCTAAACGATG